TGGCTGTGTTCATAGTTAATATTATTGAGTGTTGGCTTTTTCTTTTTTATTATTAAGGCTTCCATTATTTTTAATCTTTTTATGCATGTGGAAGAGGTTATTATGCCTGTATTTTCTACTAATATGTTTTGAATGGAGTCTAGTAGATTTTTGTGTGTGTTTAAATGAGTTCTAATGGAGCTGTGGTCAGATAGGTGTAACAATCTTTGAATTCTATGAAGAATCTCTAAATATATAGCAGGAACACCAGATCTCTCTCTCTCTCTCTTGCTCTCATATATATATATAATATCCATATTAGTAATGCTTTCATCAATTTCTGACCACTGACAATCTCATTCTTTCCCATTTTCGGTGCATTTTTATAGTAAAATCAGTAGCAGTGCATTTATATTATATACATTGTATCCCTGTTCACTCAATAATATTGGCATTAATTCTTGAACCATGACAATCCTCCTCTTTGCAATTTTCATTGCATTTCTCTGGTGCAATGATTTTCTTGGTACTTTCCTGTAAAGCCATTGACAGTACATTTACTCCTCTAATAACAATATTCTATCAGTAATAGTTGCCTCAATTATTGACCCATGACAATCCCTTTTTTCCTACATGCAGGTTAAATTTTGAGAAAAAAAAAATTTCATAATCTGATAAATTATAAATTTTCTTTTTTTTTTTTGTGTTAATGTTACTATGACAATTTTATTGATCACTTTGTGAATGTTCTTTTTCTTACACCAAGACTAATTCACATGAGCAGTAGGATTTTATGAATTCTTCTGAAAGAGGCCCCCAAATATTTTCTGCAGAACTTATACCAAATAAGTTTTCTAGCAGAAAGTAGATAAATATTAAAAGATAAACTTTTTGAATCCATACACAGACACACACACACACACACACACACAATATATATATATATATACACACACACACACACACAAACAAGTTTGGTTAAATAATTTAAACATATCATGTTGATTAGTTTTCATTGTGATCCTTTCAAGTTCAGATTAATTTCCTTGTAGACTTAGAAAGTTGATTAAGAAAAATACCAAAATTTTCTTTCAAATAGTTTTTATTTTCCCAAGTACTTTCAATCTTACCTGAGACCATTTTCAGGGGGTTAAGTTATCTGTGAGTATGTATTTCTGTAAATTCAAAGCATATCAACTGTTTGTTTTTACTGCTCATACAGCATTCTAGATTTCAAAGTTCATGTGTTTTTTTTTTCCAACATAAGGGAAGTAACTTTTCCATTTTTGCTCATACATATATAATTTATTTTTATAAGAATCTAAGGACTGTTGTGACATTCATAGTTGACTATTTTGGGCTTTAATTCTCTCATATAAGGGTTTCAAAGATTTTTAGTTTTTACTTATTATTGTTTTTATGTAATATAGATGTATTTTCAACTAATATCTGTCTCATCAGTGAATGTGGGCATGAGTGTGCTTTTAAATGCTGAGATATTGAACTATGCTCAGCCAAATGAAATGTAAGCTTTTTTGTTAGCATCATCGTAATAAAGCCAAGATATGTGTTGACATTTTTATCAAAGATACAATCTCTTAAAGGACATTTTAAATTGATATACAATATTGGCCTTTTTCAAGATGCTATTTGGCAGAGAAGAATTGTTTTGGACAAATAATTTGGTTGTATTAAATTTAGTATAGTATATAATTAATCTCTTTTTTTTTTACTTGAATCAGTACCTTTCTGCATTAAGATTTTTACTGGCACCTTGCATTTTTGCCAGCCAGTTAGGGTTCTCATTACTCTAATGCCTCTCCATTGATGTAAAAATTTGCTCCATCAGTAAACAAAATTTTAGTTGAAAAGTTTGCATCCTTGTTCACATTGGTTAATGACCATTCAGAGAATTCCATCTGTCTATCTGGGTCTTTACTCAGTGTCATGCCATATGCAATTTGTATGGATTCCATTTGTTTGCTTTTAAAATGTGCCTGATACTTGATCTGGTAACACACCTTTTTACAGACAACTATTGTGTGCTTTTATTTGGGACTCCGTGTAAGCTATGTAAATATCGTGGCTGTTGTGTATTCATTGGTGGCCGTATGTCTTGGACCACTTAGTGGTTGGTCTGCAACATTTCCAGTTTTCTGAAACTTGCTAATAAGTTTTGCTGTAGTGTGATGTTTGTTGCATGTTTTCTCTTAAAGTTCAATGCCACAATGAAACTGCTTCCTGACCCAACCGTCAGTAGAATTTCAATTTGTTGCTTTTTTGTCAAACACATCTTCTAGGGTATCTGAAACATACAAAAATATACATTATGCATTTTCCTATGTATGGAATCTTATGACCCATGCTGTATATCTATATATCTATATATATATAATATGGAAAATGAATGGCAAAGTGGAAAACTAGACTATATACATACCTTGGATAGAGCATGTGTTTCATACTTGAATACAATCTTTCAAGCCATGGTCTGAAGATTGCATTAAGCAGACTGTCGCTTCTCAATGTTGACATCAATGTCCACACTTCTTACTGTTACACCTACTCTATCCAGGATATTGTGCACTTCTAAAACTATATCATATATATATATATATATATATATATATATATATATATATATATATATATATATATACAAGTGTTTAATTTATTTTTGTGTATATCTGTACATTTGTGCAAAATACAGTGAAAATGTTATCTTCTACTTGGTCTTAGGTGTGACAATATTTGAGGATTGTCTAAAACTTAGGGTGGGAAGATTTACAATGGCTGTCTGAGAAGTGAATAGTTACAAGGCTGACTTGTTTATTATTATACAACACAAATAAAACATTGTTCATATGTTACCACCAGTTCGGTGCTAAATTTCCATATAGATTGTTACACTTGTGGTGTTGATGCATATGCATACACCCTCCTCCCTGTTAATAAATACACTGTCAAGTGATTGAAGCGGCTTTTCACCTCTGCAGTATCTGCATCATCTGTAAGGGAGTGATTTCTGGAAAAATATAATTTGAAAGCAGATGAGGAGTCAAAATTGATCCTTTATTCACCTCCTCACCTTGAAAAAAAATCAGCACTTAGTGAAAAAAAAATGATGACAACCATATTTTGGGCAACAAAAGATGCAATGGTCATCATAGGACACACTGAACTGACCGAGGGAAGTTGTTTGTTAAGAGAGCAGAACACTTGTATAAAGATGTTGGCCTACTGTATGACAATACTGCACTGTAAATAGGATGACATAAAAGTGGTTTCAGCAATATCATTGGATTCATGTATTACATCCACTTGATTTGCTTTTTAAGCCCTGTACTAAATGTAATAAAAATTATGTAATAAAAATTTGCTGAATAGTTATATCTAGATGTAAATTTACATGCTTAATTTGAAAATAACAAAGAAATTTTGATACAATTTACCGTTTAGGAGTTATCAACAATATAATTTTGGAACTATTTGGGAAAATTTTTATTAGAAACTGAGCCCAGGGCTGCAATTTACCCAGCTTTTTAGGTTATCTGTCTGGACCTCTTTTAATATTACATTTATCCAGGAAGCAGGTCTGCACAGATCAAACTGTTGTTGAAGAGATACAAGGGTGGCTCCTATCACTTTGAGGAGGGTATGCATGTTGATAGGTGACTATGGTGGCTCCTATCACATGTGCTGAGAGGTGACTATGCAAGAAAGAATGCTGATAATTTATGCATAATATTTTATTTGTAAAGTAGTAAACATGAATAAATAGGCATTTGTTCCTGACTTTTGAACATCCTTTATTTATATTAAAGTTAACAAGTTCTGATGGATTTACTTCAAAATTTCATCTCAATTCCTATTTTTAGGCTTTGTTAAGTTATGAGGACCTCTTTAAGTCTACTGTCCTGGGTAAGATGATAAACTACATCAGTGTCCTGGGTAAGATGATAAACTATGTCCGACAGCAAGGCCTCTGATCAGGATGTTTTGAGGAGCATGGGACCACCTCTTAATTGCTGGTGTTCCCAGGTCCACCCTGATCCGGGGTGGTAGCACCTGTTAGGGTCCCAGCTATGGGTGAATAGTTAACTCCCAAACTGGATCAAAACACTATGAAAGTGTAAAAATTGGTTTTAATACCAGAAATACTTTGTAAAAAAATATTACCAGCAATACATTTTTAAAAAAAAAAAAAATATTACTAGCAATACATTTTTTGAAAAAAAAAAATATTACCAGCAATAAAAATTTTGTTTGCATTAAATAACCCATTGAGGTTGATATGCCATAAAACAAACCAAACCAAATTTAGAGATTAGAATATATCAGCTAAGATATTTCATGGGAGATTTGATAATTTGCTGGTTAATATGTCTGGTTCAGTGATTGCTGAACATTAAATGATCCTGTGTGTGCATGTTCTGTCATTTACTAGGAATTTCTTTACCATAATCGGCAAAGTGCATTCTGATTGTCATTTGAGAATATTAGACATTATATATTAGGTCTATGCAAGAAGGAATGGCTGTTGGGTCTTAATGTAATTGGTGTAGATATTTTTTTCCTCTGCTGATTCCCTGGCAGTTCTTAATTTTTTTTTTTTTAAATGTTGGACACGCAATTTACCTGTTTGTTTTTGATTGGTTCCATGAAGAGAGGATCAAAAACCAGTTAATCTCTTTGTTGTTATTGCTTCATTTCTTTGCATTAATTTATTAACATTGCTCTTCTTCCCGTTGTTTGTTGTTGTTTTCTTTATATACAATTTCAATATGTCATGGAGTCATTGCAAGAAAAAGAAGCAAGATGATAAAGAAATTTCTTTATATCTCATCAGCAGCTCCAGAACAATCATTGCCTTGATCTTTGATTTGAATTACTCTTTGATTCACTACCTGATTAAGATGATCTAAGACAAAGATATTTCTTGAATTGTTATCAGCCACTCTTAATTGATCTTAGTCAATATTGTGAAAATAAAATTTTAATTTTATTTTATTTTTTTTCAGGCTTTGGAGCTGTTACCCCCAAGTACAAAAATCAGTGATATTCTTAATTACCTGGAAAACTTAATAGAAAAGAAAGCTGCCCGAAGACGAAAATGTATGCTTCTGCGGAACATTCTCTATGCTGAAAATGCTCTGGTGAGTGTTAATGTTTCAAATTTGTTGCATTGGTGGTTTTAATCTAGGATTGGTTTTATTGGATTATTTTCCTTGCTAGCGTTAACTATTTTTGAAAGATTGTCAGTTAAATGTCATCCAACTTTTGAAATGTTAGTATCTGCAGGTATTTTTTTCTTTTTTTTAAAAAGCTAGTCATAGGGTTTGATGCTGTGTCCCACTAATTTCTTTATTACTCCAGGTGGATCAACAGATAGTTCAGTGTTAAAGGAAGAAAAATAAAATGTAGCTCAAAGAGTTAATTTTATTTTAAAAAAAAAAAAAAAATTTTTTTTTCTATATTTTCTTTCCTTTTTGCATCTTTGAATATTCAATTTTTCTTTCTTTCTTTTTTTTTTGATAATTGCACATCAGTGCAAATTGAGGTGCTGAAAAGTTCTCAGTGTGACCTATTTCCTAAAACCTGAACAAACAACTGTTTTTTTTAATTTTTTTTATTTTTCAAGATATCTTTTTGGCACCCTCTATAATAAAAAGAACATATGGTACCTGATGATTGTAGTAGTTACTATCTACTTAGCTTAGTTTGATACAAGGCCATGTGTTACCCTATTAGAATTAAACTCACTACTCAGCAGTTATACTAAAAAACCAATAAGACTATTTTGCTAACCATTACACCATGCCAGTGTACCCTTTTCTTGTAGAGAGTGAAAGAAAAACAATGACTTGTTGTTCTGTAGCTAAGAATCTTTACTTTATTTGGATGTTGATTGGAAAGAGATAATTTGAATAAAGAAGAAAGCTTTCTTATTTCAAAACATCTGCATTGAACACAAAGATTACAGTTCTGTATTTAACTAACTGAAACCAGTACAACACTGTGGCATCTAATAACCATATTATTGGTAAACTGGTAAAAGCAAGTACCTTGCTTTTAGAATTAGTAAAATAGCCTGAAACATAATATTCAATGTAGTTCTGATCTGTACCCTTTGTGATAAAGTAAATCTAATAAGGTAAATTACATGCAAGTGTTTTTATTTATTTTTTTTATGATCAACCATATTCAAAATTGACTAAGTCTTGATCAACTCTAATACAGATGTCAAAGTGACTTTAACAACTCAGGAAAAACATAAAATTAAACAAAAACATTTACTAAATGTTATTTTTTTTAATCATTTCACCTCCAAGCAAGGTAATAAATCCTCTAAGACACAAAGAGTTGCTGAGGGTGAATTAATCTAAGAGAAAAAATCATTAAGGAGAGAGGCCAATAAAAGAACAGTTTTTTTTTTTTTTTTTTTTTTTTTTTTAGGAGATAGAAGATAATAATTAATATTGTATTTAAATTTTTGAATATCAAAGTTGTCTGGAAAGTAAGAGGCCAGAAGTGCAAGAGAAAAAAATGTTCTGTGTCCATCTAAAAATGGATTGAGATGCTGATCAATCCAGCTGTACAGAAATGAAAAGGATACAAGCAAACAGAAGAGTTTGATGATGAAACTGTTTCTAGTGAAGACCATCTTGAGAATAAGACAGTGCTGATGTTGATGATAGTGACAATCATGGGGATAGATTGTAAGATCAAATTAACAGATTAGAACTAAACTAAAGATTTGTTGATCTACATTTGTGCAAGAAAAGTTCCCAGCTCAACCCACTTCCCAAAGCTTAGCCAAATTTTTTAGAATCCCTCGTTTGAGCCAAGAATTTGTATGGAGTAAACTGAGACTCATTCAACAGGTGGCTGGAAAATCAGCATTTGGAATCCTTTCAACTTAAGCATGAACACTGACTGATGTTGCTGATAGGGAAGATACAATGATCTCCACCACCGCAAAGCACTCCTTACTCTTTCACTTCTTCTTTATGAGCCATGTCCACTCAAGCCATAGGCAGGCATGGCTCCCCACAATTTCCTGTCCTTTGTAGCTCTTAATAATTTTTTTCTTTTTGTTATTTCTCCTAAACCTTGTTCTGTCATCCATTTACTCAATCTCACTAAATATGTCATACGTTGTTTCCCTCTGTCCCTCAATCTGTCCTGTGAGTATCAGATTTTCCAAGCCCTCTTTCCTTATATACCTAGAAATCTCCACTCTTTCTTCCAGATGTTAAGTATAAGTTTCTTTTTTGTTTCCATTTTCTCTAAAATTTCATTGCTCACATATTTGGTCCATGGTATCATCAGCATCCTTCTGTAGAATATTTCTGTTGCTTCAAGTTGCTTCTTCATCTTTGAGGAGATTGTACAGAATTCACTACCATATGGGAGGACAGTTATCATTTAACAGTTCAGTACTCCTTTCTTTTTTTCTAATAAAGTTTCTGCTTCTTAATACTTTGCTTAGTTTTTGAAATGCTACTTTGGCCATTCCATTGTGTCTTTAAATTTCAGTGTCACACTTTCCGTCCTCTGTTAAAATGCTTCCTAGATATTTAAATGTTTGTACTGGTTTGATTTTGGCATCTCCAATTTATAATTTGCATGTTGGGCTGTCCCTTTTGCTAAGAACCATGCATTCTGTTTTCTCATGAGTTTGTTACTTTCCTGATCTCTGACCATCATAGACGATTGGTCAAACCTGACATTTTATGATAGATGATAAGTGAAAAACTTAAACTGAATCAAGAAGGTGGCTTATGTTAAAAATACATAGTGATAAACAATATGAAATTGAGATAATGTTCTTTTCTTGACCCTTTCTGTCTGCATGAATAATATTTCTAAATTTATCAAAAGATGTTTGTATCCTCTTTCTGCAGATCAATTATAGTGACTTACAAGCAATGAGATACAGTCAAACTTTTTTTAACACTGTGGAAAAGTACTTTGTATAATCTTAAAGGATGAGTCAATCTATTGATTCTGAAAAATGTTATTTACAGAAAAATGTTTTTCTCCTTCTTAAAAGTAGGTGCCCTTGACAGTGTAGCATCAGATTACTGGTTCCACTTTGGATTTGGACTGTGATATTTTTTTGATTTTGAAAGCTTCTATTGCTCCTGCTATGAATTTACAGATTCTTGATAAAATCCAAAGAATCTGCAATATTATTGGTTCTGACCTGGCATCTTGACTTCAGTTACTTACCCACCATCATAACATAGTGCTTTTTCTATAAATATTTTCATGGTAATTGTTTTGATAAGCCTTCCTCTTTGTTAATTCAATATTAGGAGGCATGGTGGAGTAATGGATAGCGGCTCGGATTGAGGAATTGGAGATCTGAGTTTGAATTCCAGTCGAATCCATTACATTCACTTGTATGTAATACCTTTGGGAAAGGTATGAATCCTCTTTTCCTCCCACGCTATGGGTTAAATAGCAGGACAGACCAGGTTCTGTAGCTTTGGATGGTAATTGGTCTACCACAGAAAGAAATGGCAACCTACTACAGGGAAAAAATCTGCCTCATCAGTCAGGTATCAAAGGATACATGATCACCTAAGTGTGTATCCGTATGGCATGTAACTGACTGAATTCAACATTATAAATTTAAGTGCAGTACTAGATTGGCAGCATGGTTACATCCTTTTACACTTGAAATAGCTAGATGTAATCATAAGTTCTATGCTAATGATTTCTTCTCCTGCATTTCTTGCTTGGGGAATTCTCTTTTGGCTTCTTGCTTTCCAATCAACTTTGATCTTCAAAAATTTAAATGCAATGTCACTCAATATCATCTGTCGCCTTAATTCCTGTTATTCTATTGACCTCTCTTCTTAACGATTTTTTCCTTAAATTCTTTCATCCTCAGTAACCTTTTGTGTCTTAGTGGCTTTATTCCCTTGCTTGGGGTGAAATGATTAAGAAATAAAAAAAAATACATTTAGTAACTGTTTTTGTTTAATTTTGTTTTATGCTTCCCAGTAGGATATTTGGAGCTTTCTCGAGCATTTTTTCTTGAATGACTGGATAATTTTTTTCTGCCTCAACCTGAAGTGTCCAAGTCTCAAACTCATAGAGAAGGATTCTATCATTAGTACTTGTTTAAATTCCTTAACATTACCACTTTATTGATTGTCAATGCATTTCTATAGTAAATCCATTAACAAATACATTTACATGATGCATATAATAGCTTTATTTTACCAATGGTACAAGCCTCAATTTCTGATCATACATTATCATAAAATCATACATTTTTTTCTTCTGATTTTTAACATATTTCTATAATAATACTTTAATGATTCATTTCAGTAATAACTGTATTAATTCTTAATGACTGAAAATCCTTTTCTTCTTGATTTTCTATAATATAGTCACATTTGTTGTACTGCAATTCTATAATAAATCCATGAGCAAAGTGTTTATATTTGTTTAATAAATCCTACCTCTGATATCTTGCTTTGCATTAAATGGTGCCCTGTTGAAAACTTTTAGTTTTCATCTTTAAAGTAGGAGTGTAGAAATAGTTAAAAACCTTTAAGAGGGAAATCATTTTTTTTTTCAGTCTGGATAAGATAAATAGAATTAGTACAAGGTAGTAATTTGGGAGAAGCAACTGTCTGCCTCCCACTTTTGCTATTTTTTGCAGAAACAGTGGGAAAGTGACTGAAGCTGAGATTGGGAAAAATAGTAAGATTTCATTATTTAAATATATACATTTCATTTTTTTTGTTTTTCCTTTTGGATCTGATGAAGGTTTAAATGATGAAATGCATTATCAGATATATTTCAAAACAAATCTACTTTCATGAATGTTTTCTAATTGTGAAAACTTTAAAAAGCTCTGTCGGGATTATATATCCTAATTTTAAAGTATATATGTATATATATATATATATATATATATATATATATATATATATATTCAAGATAATGCTTCTATGCATGTGAGATGGTAGAGGATCAAGCAGAAATAAATAAAAAAACAAGCGATGAAGAATTTTGCAATTTGGATTGTTGCCCAGATTCCCTTGAAGTATATTACGAGCCTTGCTTCCTCATCAGCTGCTAACCATTTATTCTAACAAATCACCGCAAATGGCTTTGTCATTTTTGATGTGTT